TTCTCTCTCTTTTCCCTTAAGATCAGTCTGCTATCTTCCTGATACAAGCATTTCACTCGACCCTTGCCACTTCACCTGTGCTCAACAAGGTGTTATTTCCAACACTGCGTCTGCTAGACTAGCTTGAGGCTAAAGACCCAGAGTAATTCACATGGTCAAGCCTTTGCTCGATGAACCACGTCTGTGGTAAAACAGGACTACCACTAACCAAATATCTCTAGTCCCTGCAGCGACTATCCTGTTTCTATCCCTAATATCAAGTCTATGACTTGCTATGCCCTAGTCCAGTGGTTCCCAAACTTTTCCTAGTCGCGGCGCCCTTTTTCAATTATAATTTTTCCATGGCGCCCTACCCTAAGTATGACTATTCGTAAAAGATAAAAAAATAAAACTCGTGTATCTTGATTAATTTTTTTACTTTATTAACATTAAATTAATATTTAATAATCAATATGATGGATGAGCCTGCAAATCACTGCACATTTTCTTAAACTGAAGTTTTTACAATATTTCGTGGCGCCCCTGTAAAGAGGCCGCTGCTCCACGGGGCGCTGCGGCGCACAGTTTGGGAATCAATGCTCTAGTCTCTTATGTGCCGATCCACAAAGGTTGTGGGCATAGCACGTCAAAAACTTGATATTAGGGCTAGAAAGAGGATAGACGCGGCGGGGACTAGAGCTAGTTGGCTGCTGGTAGGCCTGTGAAGCAAAGGCTTGATCGTGAGACTTAATCTGGCTATTTAGCCTAAAGTTAGTCTAGCAGACGCAGAGTGTGAGAAATAATGCCTCGTGGAGCCCACATGGGGTGGCAGGGGTCGAATGAAATAATTGAACCAGGGAGATAGAAGACGGATCTTACGGGGCAAGAGGGAGATTCTGATAGGACCTAGGCAAGGACTGAGTAACAGTATGGCAGACTCTGATCTACAGGGGAGTGAGAACGCCAGCGTGGAGTATGGAGGGTTCTCATGAAAGCCGCTTTAAGAGCACGTCACACTACATTTAAATAAGTAAGGAAAATTGTAATAGTGAAAGTGTGATACGAGAATATATGAAAGGTGCCCAAGATAGGAGAGATATCACAACTGTTTGGCACACATTTGGTCAAAGGATCGGCCTCACTTGTCTCTTTGACGAGTTGTAGTATGGTGCTAAGAGTGGCAACACTCACTGACGATGCCAGCGGGAGGTCTGGTAATGTACCACGTCCACGGTCTGACTTGGGAAATTATTATGCATACAATGGACTCCGGAATAGGTGCGCTACTCTAAGTCTTCCTACTAAAATATTACCAAGTTGCGAAAACAAGGTCAAACAACTTCTATACAACGAAAGGAGACTGCGACCACACAAAAGTTCGCACCATCTTGGTCTTCATCTCTTAGATCATACTTTTAGTTTTAAGAAAAGAAATTACAAGGAAACCAGAGAGGGACAATCAGAAACCAAGAAAAGACGTCTAACGTGAGCCTATTCAAATCATGTAGAATCATCAAATTTAGCGGTCGGCACCTAATAGAAAGTTATATACTTGGCATTAGAGATAGAAGAGCGAGAGGAACGGTGGTGGCTATTTCTAGTTGGCCATTAGTATATAAGTTTGCCCATAGACATGGCACATAAGGTGAAAGTTTGGCCACGAGATTTACTCGGTGCGCATGCCACACAGTGATAAGGGAATCTACAGCGTCAAGTTAGGTTGCCATTCCAATTAAGAATTTAGACTTTAGGGGCTTGCTCTGTGAGACTGCTGTATACGTGCTATCAAATTCATGAGACAGAGTGTAGAGCATAACGCCATGAGTAGCGCGGATACAGTGGCTGCGATGGCGTGAAATCACTGAAACAGGTAGATAAGGAAAGGATCCTAAGGAGCAAGAGGGGACTTTGATAGGACCCGAAGGGAGAGGATTGCGGTTGAAGCCGCAGTCTTGGATCAACACTCCCTTCACAGTCGGAGGGATATGGAAACCAGCGGCGAGTGTGAATAGGTCCCTAATAGGTTTAAATAAACAAGTAATAAATTGTGATATTAAAGGGTTGATACGAGGATATATAATAGGTGAATAGCTCAGGACAGAATGACGGATACCACAATTGTTTCGCACACAATTGGTCAAAGGATCGATTGCACTTGTTTCTCTGACGAGTTGTAATGTGGTGCTAAGAATGGCAAGGCTCACTGACGATGCCGGCAAAACGTAATGGGTATGTACCAAGTTCACGGTCCGACTCTCTAAATTATTATGCATACTATGGACTGCGGACAAGGTGCGTTCCTCTAGGTCTTCCTGCCAATATGATAAAGTTGCGAAAACAAGGTCAAATAACTTACAAAACTATTTTGTTAGCTTACTTCCATTTCGAGTGAAAGCGTTTGGCGAAGAGATTCGAAAGTCGATCCCACCAGATGATGACGACGGATTCCTCTTGGTCAGCTGTCGATCGGCCCTAATGGAACATACTTGTTGACGCTGTTTCCAAGGTGCTCTCCTTCGATTTCAGTGAAAACGTGTCTAGAATGCGTCGCCGTATGGCTGACGTCATAAGAGCAGGGTAGCATTCCTACAACTATATTCAAGATAACGGGTCAAGAGAACTAACTTGCTCATCCCTAAAGTGCTTTATATATACTCTATATCTAAGCTCTTTGATGAAACATAAAGTTATTTGGTTAGTTCCAGTCATATGTCAGCCTAGGAGCATATCAGTGTGCCTGCCTCTGTATGTGCAGAGGCCTATATGTATTGGCATATGTACGAAACCAGCAGGAATGGCTCAATGTATGTAAAAAAAAGTCGTTTGTTCTCGACTATCAAGGTTTAATGACCACCACCATCCCTTCTATATATATTTTAACAATCATCCAATTGCGCAATGTCGTACACGTCTAGTTATGTTGATGAGCTTGTTTGGCCTAATGCGAGAGAGAAGAAGTGAACCAAGAGTTCTAAAAAGCGAACATGACTAGAACCAAGATAAGAAAATACTACGAAGAGTAATTGCGTTCCGATGAATCTCCTGAGATAACATTGTTGGATAAAATTTCTTTTTGTAGTAATAACGTGATACTTTTAAAAGAATGACTTCCAGCTTTGATGATGTCCAGCAAATGATGGACGAAAGCTCAGCCCAGTTTAACCCGAAACGAAGGTCTCGGGTACTGCGTCAACCTGAACATCGTATTAAAGCTAAACGGCTTCAGTACAACGGGAATCAAACGTCAGCTTCTGGTGAGATCGACCTTCGAATCTCTTCTTCATGCCCTGTCGATCTAACAAGAAGAGGACCGATGAATCCTGTTTTACTGCAGCCGTTTGGCTTTTATACGACGTTCAGGTTGACGTAGTCCACGAGACCTCCTCCCTTGTTTCGGGTTAAAACAGGCTGAGCTTTCGTCCATCATATGATGGACGTCATCAGAGC